TAGGGTGGATAACCACTTGTTTGGTATCTCACAGAGTAGAACTTTGGACATGCTGTACAAAAACTCTGTCCTCCAAATGGGCCCAGCATCAGTGACCAGCCTTTCAGAGTTTCCTTTGATCTACTGGCTTTTATTCTTTCTCTGCTCTCTGGACTTCCTGATTGCCAGTGTCCTAGTGTTCCCAAGCCTGTGGTGGCTAAGCCTCCCTTGCCCCACATATCAACCCCACTGAACTTGAGTGCTTCGCACAGTGGGGTGGCAGTTCACCTGCCCTCTTTGGTGTATCCGCTCTCTTCCACTGTCCCCTGGCCTCTGCCTGCTGAGTGCTATGAGTCACTTGCTCTGGACACCCACAGGGTCACATTCTGGAATGCTGTATTGTGGTTGTTCATGTGTCTCCTTCCTGTTGGACAGAGTCCTTTCTACCAAGGGGTGTTTAATAAAGCTTTGCTTGAGGAATGGGCTGGGGTCTGCTCTGGGAGCAGGTAATAAAATGACCCATAGTGGAGCACATTGCTCTTGAAATGCCCTCTGGGGTGGTTCCCCAAGATCTCAAATAAAGAAGCCTGCCTTGACTGGTTGCAGTGGTACTCGCCTGTAATCCCAGCTATGCTAATGCTGAGGCAGGAGGATTGCAAGTTCAAGACCAGTTTGGGCAATTTGGCGAGACCATGTCTCTAAATTAAAAATAAATAAATAAAAAGGACTGAGGATGAGAACCCAGGGGAGTGTCCCTGGGTTCAATTCTCAGTACCCGGACAGGAGTAGTAACCTGCCTCCATGAAGTTTTGTGATATCTCTGCCAGGTGACTTGGGTTTCTATCAACTTGGAACCTCCATAAACTGACTTCCTTAGCTTCCTGGGGCCACAAGTCTGTGCAGAGGTCTGTGCCTGGTTGTAGTCTTGCATGGATGAGTTTCCTGCGCTCCAGCGTTGCTCTTAGCCAGGACAGTCTCCACAGCACTGGCTCTGTCCTACCTAGAGAAGGCCCCGGGTTCTCACTTCTGTCCTCATCACCTCAGCAGGATGTTAGAGTGGCCTGAGCCGCAGCTGCTTTTCTGCAGGATATGTTACGTACTCTTAGCACAGGCAGCCCAGCTAGACCTGCCTTCCTCTATAGGATCCTTATCTTAAGGCCTCGGGCCTATTCTTCCTGCTGCCTTGCCATTTGTACTTTTAGCTAAGCCAAAACTGGGGTTTTAGCTTGGTGACAGAGCTCTGGCCTGGCATGCACCAGGCCTGATTTTGAGCCCCAGGGACCCCAGCCCAAACACACATGCAGATTACAAACAAACACAGGCATGGATTACTTAACACTCTGAGATGTGCAGCCTTAGGCAGGTTCATGATTGTGAGAACATGACAGAGAACTTAAGCAAATCTAGATGCTGTAGGCCACACTCAGTGTGACCTCTCGATGCAAATAAGACATGCCGTAAACATGAGAGAGGCAGCTGCTGGTATCAAGGGCATATTGCTTTCCAGTTAATTTCTTTATTTAATAAATTGAAGTATAATCTAACAATCAAAAGTGAAGTGAAGGGGCTGCGGCTGGGCCTCAGTGGCAGAGCGCTTGCCTCATAAGTGTGAGGTACTGGGTTCGATCCTCAGCACTACATAAAAATAAATAAATAAAGATATTGTGTCCATCTACAACTAAAAAATAAAAAAAAAGAAAGTGAAATTAATGCTCAATCTGGTAGCATAGCCAGGCGCATTGGTGTACACCTGTAATCCCAGTAACTTGGGAGGCTGAGGCAGAAGGATCATGACTTTAAGGCCAGCCTCAGCAACTTAGTGAAGCCCTAAGCAATATAGCAAAACCCTGTCTGAAAATACAAAATGAAAAGAATTGGGGATGTGACTCAGTGGTTAAGTGCCCCGTGTTCAATCCATAGTATCAAAAGAAAAAGACCCCAAACCCTAGTAGTAGCACAGTCACTGTTATTGAGTGTACTGTACTGTGTGTAACTGCGCATGCTCTACTGTCATACCTCTGGCCATGCAGTAGGTTTGTCTACACTATCACCGCCACACACATGTAGTGTGTTGCATTAGGATGTTGAAATGGCTGTGGAGTCACTGGGTGAGAGGAGGTTTCCAGCTCCCTTGTGTGCATTCCTTGTGCCCATTGAACGGTCCTTACATGGCCCGTGTTGTCCTCTGGGACTCTAGTTTGCAGCAGTAGGGTTGCCTGAAGAGCCAAGCCTGGCATCAGCAGGAAAGTGCACGCCCCAAGACCTCTTCTCTGCCTTTCCTACCCTCAGCATCCTCCGCAAAGCCCTGGATAAGATTGCTGAGATCAAGTCGCTGTTGGAAGAGAGGCGGATTGGTGAGTTGGGGGAATGCACTAAGGTTTCCTGAGCAGGCAGAGTGGGGGCTGCTGAGGACAGCCATCAGGCCTTCTGTGGGGAGCCAGTGGCACTGACAGGTTATCACTGCACATGGCCTCGGGAAGGGTTTTCCTCCTGGTTCTCTCTTCTGAGGGGCCCTGTGCCTCCCTCCTTCCTCCCACCGCCCACTCTGCTTCTTGCTGTGGGGGGAACCTGGGGGCTTGGCAGAGCCCATCCTGTGTCCTGAAGCAAGACCACGAGTGGCTGCCACGCAGGTGCTGCCTTCCAGACCCACAGACGCCATTGCCCTGGCTTCCCTGCCTGTCTTGTCATGGTGGGCAGACCCCTCGGCCCTTGGCCTTGTCTCCTTGCCAGTTTGGTTTTGTTTGAAGTTGAGGGGTGCGTGGAGCCATGCCTGAGAGGCCAAAGGTTCACGCTGAATGATTGGTTCTCAATTTTGGGTGAATAGATGATTAGAAAAGTGCCCGGAAGGGTAAGGATCCCTGAGGGTTTTGCTGACGCAGCACACTCAGGTCAGTGGTGCCCAGGTCAGGAGACACAAGTGACTGCACCTCCAAACCACCCTTTGGAAACCTTCTAGCTCCTCCCCTCAAGGGTGACCACTGTCCCCACACCTCATCACCCTGGCAGTTTAGCTTGTCAGGGCCCCAACTTGGACATCTCGTGGATGGGCAGGGAAGGGGCTGCACCCTTGGTGGAAACTGGGGAGGTGGGGGCTCCCTGCTGAGCTCCTCTGACAGCACAGGGCAGGGTACTGGGGGTCTCAGGGCAGGTGCCCCTCCCTGGGGCCTCAAGGGTGCACCTCCTTCCCACAGCGGCCAAGATCGCGGGTTTGTACAATGACTCGGAGCCGCCTCGTAAGACCATGCGCAGAGGGGTGCTGATGACCTTGCTGCAGCAGTCGGCTATGACCCTGCCCCTGTGGATCGGGAAGCCTGGTGACAAGTGAGGGTAGCAGCCAGCAGGGGGGGCCTGGTGTCCAGGCCCAGACTAATGCTCCTTCCACTCACAGGCCCCCACCCCTCTGTGGAGCCATTCCAGCCTCAGGGGACTATGTGGCCAAGCCTGGAGACAAGGTGGCTGCGCGGGTCAAGGCTGTGGATGGGGATGAGCAGTGGATCCTGGCAGAGGTGGTCAGTTACAGCCATGCCACCAACAAGTGAGTGGACACCCACCCGCTGAACCTTGCTCACCACACCCTCTTCCGCTGGCATTGTTCAGCCTGTGTGCACAGCGGGAGAAGAGCTTCCCCGAGGGCACCTGGGCAGGAGGTGTGGGAGGCACTGGGCTCCTCGGGCCACTTTCCCACTCTCCATCTCCCCCTCCTCCTCTTTCTGGCTCCCTGGCTCTCAGTGGGCACCTGGCTACACCCGGTGTCCTCCTTCCCGTTCCCCCCACAGGTATGAGGTAGATGACATTGATGAAGAAGGCAAAGAGTGAGTGTCCAGCTGGGAATGGGTGGCCAGGCTCCTGGCAAGTGGTCTCCCTGGCCCTGGGCTGATTGGGTCTCCCCTCAGGAGACACACCCTGAGCCGCCGGCGCATCATCCCACTGCCCCAGTGGAAAGCCAACCCTGAGACGGACCCTGAGGCCTTATTCCAGAAGGAGCAACTTGTATTGGCCTTGTATCCCCAGACCACCTGCTTCTACCGTGCCCTGATCCATACGCCCCCACAGCGGGTAAGGCAGCCTCATGGACAGGCCTTTCATGACACCCGGCTCCCAGACAGGGCGTGGGGTCATCTTCCGAGTCCTTCCTTTTTCTCCTCTCATGGCCTTATAACTTAAAGGACCTGCATCTACCTTGTGAATCCTTCCTGCCCAGCCTGAGCCGGAGCCTGCCCCCAGTGAGCAGGCTGCTCTGCCCTCCTTCCTCACTTTGATCATAATTGGACCCCAGGCCCAAGCTAGGAGCATGTACCAATGTCTCCTGACTCCCTCCGTCACCCCAGCTCTTGCCGACACTGACACGTGAGACTCTGGTCATTGGTAACCTGATGCAGCTAAAGGCTATTCTCCCTGTGCCTCTAGGACACCTGTCTGCTCTCTGGGCTGTCCTTAATGCTCTCAACACAGGGCTCCTGAATGGCCCCAGACATCCTTGCAGGTCTAGGCTGACCCTTGGGTAGCGAGTCTCTCTTATTTCCCACTCTTTATCCCCTGCCCTGGAGAACAGGCTCTGGAGTAGCAGGGACTGGGGTGAGCAACTGGACCCCTTGACTCCAGAGTGAAAGATGAGGACCAGAGAGGCTGGGAGCTCACAGCGTTCCTGCTGGGCCAGGCTCCAGGCCAGGAGGAGGCTGGCCTGTGCCAGCAGCCTCTGACCAACCCCTCCTGTTTGCCCTGGCAGCCCCAAGATGACTACTCCGTTCTCTTTGAAGACACCTCCTATGCAGATGGCTACTCCCCTCCCCTCAATGTGGCCCAGAGGTATGTGGTGGCTTGTAAGGAACCCAAGAAAAAGTGAAGCTAACTGGCAGACTGGAGGTTTGCTGCTGCCGTCCTCATGGGAGAAGGCAAGAGAGGATTTTCTGGGATCAAATAAATATTCTTCCCCCTCTCCTATGTCTCCTGGCTTTCCTCTGTAGGGGGTGGGGCAGAGGGCCCTACCTGTTCCAGAGAGTCTTCGAAGAGAATCTCTGTCTTGAACAGATTATAGAGATATTTTAAATTTTTATTTTTTGGTGATAATGAAAATTGAACTCACCCATACTCTACCTCTCGGCTGCATTTGTAACCTTCCTTGCCTTTTTCTTTTTTTTTTTCCTTAATGTTATTTTATTTTGAGGTAGCCTAGGCTGGCCTCGAACTTTAGGATCTTCCTGTCTTAGCCTCCTGAGAGCTGGCGTATAGGCGTGAACCTCTCTGTTTGTATTTTATTCCTGAGGTCATGGGTCAGGCTTGTGCCCACGACACCACTCAGATCTCCCAGTGGAAGTTGAGCTTGCAGCCTGCCATCTTCTCAGCATAGTGGGCGTCAAAGTGCTCATTCTGGGCCACAGTAAGGGCAAATTTCCATTCCCCTGGGATGCCTGGGGAGGGGCAGAGTAATGCTGGAGTCCCATACACAGGTGGTCCCAAGAGACTCAAGGCAGGCTCTGGCAGCTGCTTCCACCCTTCCCTCCCCAAATACCCTCCCGTTGGGGCACTCACCTTTCCTCATGAAGGGAGAAATACTGTGGTCTAGGATATGAGTAGGAAAGGTGCTAGAGTCAGTCATGGGGTTCTTCTCCATCTCCTTGAAGGATGTGGCTGGACGATGTAATCCACGGTTTTCTCTGACAGGGAGCGCCCCAGAAGCTCCAGGATTTTCTGAATTTCCCTTCCCAGGTTCTAGAGCAGCAGAAGGGCTCTTCAGACAGGGCTTGGATTGCTTATGGGAAGTGGGGGGCTGGCCACTTCCACTTGGAAACCTCCCAGCCCCAGCTGCTTCACTCTGGTCCTCTTTCCCTGGAGCAAAATGACTGGCTCTCTGCCTTAGGGTTCTGGAGTGAGCCCTGTGTGGTGCCTTAGGAGAGAGGGCAGGGACAATCTTTTAGAACTGTAGCCCCAGGTGTGGCGCAGCCTTGGGCATGTGTAGCTGACCCAGGTGCTAGAACATAAGGGCTGTGCTGGGTGCTGAGCTGGGCTGGCTCTGAGGTTCCAGGACAGGAAGGCAATGTGGGGAGTCCTGGACTGGGTGGGCCTGCCAAAGGGGATGGTCCTGAGGGCCTTGTCAGGTCCCCTGAGGTTCCTGCCTCCTGGGTGGGACATAGATAGAAGTAGTAGGCAGTCTCACCTCCTTCAGGTCTTCATAGAAGAGGTAGAGCACAGGGTGGGTGCGGCTCAGCTCCCACCACTCCTGCACGTGCTGGTACCATGACCCATAGGACACTGGGGAAGGGACCAGAAGGATTTGGTATGAGTTTTAGGTGGCTGTCCTCAGCTTCAGCCCTGTCCTTCCTCCAGATTGGAGCCTACCTTGTCCATCCATGAACTTCTCCAGGAAGCTGTCCCAGGTGCCAGGGTCAGGGTGCACCTTGGCCATTTTGTAGAAGTTGTAAAAGGTGACAGCCACGTCCTTTGCATTGCGGGCAACGTAGATCACCTGCAGGGACAGATGACACCCACTGCCAGCTACACCACCTCACGCACACACCCCAGGACTGCCTCCCTCCTGCCTGCCTGGCCCCCTCACAGCACCCCTGTGGGGAGTTCCCTCTCAGCTTGACAAGGGAACACGCTGAGGCCTTGAGGCTGACTTGTTGGAGACCTCAGGGATGGCTGCAGCTGCTGGGATCTGAACTCAGATTTGATGGGAGACTCCTGGCTGGTCCCTGGAGCTGTACTTCATCCTAATCTGACCCCTTGAATTCCACCACACACCCAGATGGAGATCAAGGCAGGCTGAGTCTCTCGAGCCCCTGTACGAGCCTCTAAGCACCTGAGCTCTCCTGTTCTCAGGTCTGAACTAAAGAAGGCATGGGGCCCCAAGCCTTTAATCCCAATGGCTCAGGAAGCTGAGGCAGGAGGATCCCAAGTTCAAAGGCATCCTCAGCAACTTAGGACCTAAGCAACTTGGCAACATCCTGTCTCTAAAATATTTAAAAAGGGCTAGGGATGTGGCTCAGTGGTTAAATGAACCAGGTTCTATGCCAGGTACCTGCCCCCAGCCCCGCCAAAAAAACAGTCTCACTCTGCTTGTCTTGGCCCTGCCACAGTGAGGGCAGGTGGCCTTCCCACTTGAGTGGAGACACAGCTTGAAGAGACTTTCCTAGGAAGAGGACCAAAGCTGCAATGGTCCAGTGGGCCCCCTGCCACTCACCTTGACCTTCAGACTTGGGGAAGCAGGGCCAGTGGCAATGGGTCTTGAGGATCCGTGGAGCAGGTGTGTCTTTTAGAGACTGCAGGCCTAAGGTGTGAGCAGGGGAAGGTCTGATGAGCTGGAACCTGGAACTTGGCCCAGGACAACACCAGGCACTTGAGGGGAGACCTGGGCATTTGAATTCAAGGTAGGACACCCTAAAATATATGGGGGCCCAATGACACTTCCTTAAGTCTCCACCCTGGTAGATCATCTCCAGTATCTCACTTAACCAAGTGGTGCCTGGAAAGGGAGAGAAGCAGGCATGATCAGGGTGGGCGCCTGGCTCTGGTGACCAAGGTGGGGACTGCAGTCCCAGTAGGGGAGCGGGGTGGCCCTCCTCACTTACCAGACTTGGGGTAGGTGCTGATGAGCAGGTCATTGGGCCAGGTCTGGAAGCTCTGAAGTGGCCCCATCCCTCTGCAAAGTACCTGGTGGGTAGGGACCCCCTTCACACTGACCAGCAGAGGACAGGAGTTATCCTAGACCAGCTCCATGCTGCTGAGTCAGGGACCAGCACCTGCTCTACCTTTCTGAATTCCACCACAAAACAGCATTTGAGGATTGTTGCTTTGAGATTAGGACACAGACTTCAGGAGGCTCTGTGAGTTGACAGGCTCACCAAGCTAGTGAGCGGGGAGCTGGGATGGGAAGGCAGGTCTAAACCCCAGTGCAGTGGTTCACGGCTTGGGCTGCACCTGCTGCTTACCTGCAGAATTTTCCATGACTCTAGGGCAGTGTAAGCAGTTCCTGGCATCTGGTCACAGACATTGGATTTGGGAAGATTTCCAGGAGATTCCAGTGAGTACTTAAAACAAATCTTCTAGGGCCTATCCATTCCATTTTTGTTTTGTATTGCTTGCAGTGCTGAGGAGGGAGCCCAGTGCCTCCTGCATGCTAGGCAAGCACTCTGTCTGTGATGTACACCTCTCCTGCCCAGCCAATTGCTTTGCTGGTCAGCTTGGCTGCTCTTACTATTCCCCATGGGCTCCTCTCTGTGCTGTTCCTCTTCTATAGCTCCCTGGGCCCTTCACATCCAGAAACACCCCAGGCCAGCCACTTGCCCACCCAAACTCCATCTTGGCTCCAGGACAAACAGGACCAACTGAGCAGCTGAACGAGGTTGGTGGGCCAGTCTTGCATGTGAATGAGCAAAACTGATCACTCAGCAGAAAGGGGAGGGGGACTCAGGCCAGGGTAGAGTTGTCGTATTGTGAATGGGTGTCCATGGGAAAAGAACAGGGAGGTAGAAGCCCCACCCGAGAGAACCAATGGTGCCTGAACAAGGAAAGGAGCACCTAGAAGATGTTGGAGCCAGGAGCTGGGCCGGGCAAGGGTGTCTTGCCCAGCCACCCCCAATCTGGCACTCATCTGACCTTTCAGGATACTGGCCTTGTGGCCTTCTGGCGGACACTGGATTAGCAGAGGTGTGACGTGGGACTGCAGAGCTGCTTTCTGAGCTGAAGGTTTTGTAGGTTCAAAGTAGGAGGGGTGAGGAGCCAGCCCAGGGAATGGCTGTCCTCCTGGAAAGAAGGGGGTGGTTTGGGGACAGGGCGTGTCAGTGTTATTCTCCTTAGCACCCAGGGGAGCCAAGCACACACACCTGTCTGAAAACCCAAGATGTGCATTTAGCATATAGAACAAACTAGAGAAATCAGGGGAAGGACCCAAGGGGAGGATGTTTTTTTAGGTTTAATTGGGGCTTCTGGACCACTCCCCTAAACTCCACCCTTACACAGCAGGTTAACAGAGGGCCCTTTTCTTTTCTTTCTTTTTTTTTCTTTCTTTCTCTCTCTCTCTCTCTACCCCTCTCTCTCTCTCTCCCTCTCTCCCTCTCTCCCTC